TTTTTGCATACAATTGTTTAACCAAAGATAATTCACGCAAAATTTTTTTTTTATTATTTTATTTAAGAATGGTCAAATATTGAATGGTAAGGTATACAATTTTTACCTGATTTTAAAGTACGTAATTTCATATGGAAAAATACGAAATTTGAGAGAAATCATTCGAATAGCTCTGAGAAAATTTCAAAAAAGTCAGATAATAAAAATTCGATTTCTCGGGAACTATTTGACCGATTTGGGTCAAATTTTGAACATTGACATATAAAATTACGCACTTTAAAATGATGTAAAGATTGCATACCTTACAATTCCAAATTGTTTTAACCATTCCTAAATTAAATAGTGAAAAATAATACGTATTTACTAAAAGTTACGTTTTGCATGGAATTATCTTTGGATAAATGAATTTTATAATTGTGTACAAAAATGTTTAAATTCACTTAAAAAATTCTCAAGATATAGCAAAATATGCAAAAAATAAAACTAACATTAAGGGTCCAAACTTTGGAGAGCTCTCCTGATCAAACAATGGGGACCATATTTCCCCGATTGCGGCTACCCCCCTATTTTGGGGGTCAGAAATCCGAATCCTTCGAAAAAAAGTTGTGTTTATTCAAAGAAAATACTTTTTGTGTCTAATTTCGCATTAAAAATTATTGTCTGCACACCCCCTCGAGCCACTAAGATTGAATCTTAGAACGGGAAAATTCGATCATTAGATCAAAAGTTAACCAAGGTGGTCCGTTTCGCTCACTGTACATACAAATATTTGAAAACTAAATGTATGCTATATATGTACTTAAATAGTATTAATATAAATAATATATCCGTTGAACAGATACCTTGTTGATAATAGAAGAATTATTGCCTGCTTTCCTTAAATATTGAAAAAAACATTCTTGACATCGCCTATAATAATTAGCATATTGGAGGTCAACCCATCGAATCCTAGAACGTTAAGATCCGGTCATAAAATCAAAAGTTATTCAGGTTGGATCGCTTTTTTAGCTCTATACCTTTTCATTAAAAAGGTCACAAACATGAGCATAAAATTTTCCCAATTACTTAAATATCTTGGTTTCTTTAACATTCTGATTAATTAAAATAGAGAAAACGTTTCACGCAATTGCGGTGAAAAGACTTTTAACCTAAATTCAGTTTAAGTGAGTTGCAAAAAGAATTAAACTTCCGCGACAAGTTAAATTGATCTGAACTGAATTAATTTCTACTGGTATACTCAAGAGTCTGAGGAATTTAAAAGAAATTTATTCTTAACTCAATTCGAAAGCACTTCTTCCAACTAAAAAATAGTTTGAAAGAAGAAATGATAGTTGTTTTTACAAGGCATTGGTATGTCATCAACCATTATTAAATGTGATATGTATAATACAAAAAAAAATTAATCAGTTTAATGAAACAGAAAGGAAAAGATATTAAAAAATGTAGAAATAAAGCTATTTCGAAAGAAGATTTTAATGTAAACTTTTTAACATACAATAAAGATACACTGAAAATTATATGTAAATTAAAATGATGGAAATTGGCGAATTAAAGAGAGAGCTTTTGCTATTTTCAATATAAATATTTTTTTTTTATAAAATACATGTTCAGCTAGATTTGAGAGAAAAATGCTGCGAAGCATTTTTGGTGGAATAAGTAAAAGCGGTACCTGGTTTAGAAGATCAAACATGGAACTTTACAAAGCATATAAAGAATTAATTAAATTTAATTAATTCATTAAATTTATCAAAATTCAAAGGATTAAATAGACAGGCCACATTGCAAGAATGAAGGATAGCAAGACAACCAAATAAGTTCACAGTGCCAGGCCAACAGGTACAAGAAAAAGAGGACGGCCAAACCTAAGATTTTTAGACTGCATTGAGAAGAACCTACAAGTTTTAAAGATAATAAACTGGAGAACCTTGGCTAAGGGAAGAATGTCGTGGCATAGGCTTGTTGAGAAGGCTAAGGCCCATCCTGGGCTGTCGTGCCAAAGAGAAGAAGAAGAAGACATGTTCAGCGTGTAGGTAGAATATGTGGTAGAATATGTAGAATATGTGGAATAAAAAGATAATTCAGTGCAAACCTCTAAATGAGATATTAAATAAAGTAATAATATTCACTATGCATCGATAATATTGATAACTTCGATATTATTTATTATGCACTCAATTTCTACATTAAACACTCATTTAATGATATTTACACACATAATAAGCATATGCAAAGTTAATTCATTACAAACAGAATATTTTATTCTAGTTATTATTTTTAATCGTTATTTATTTCATTTTCACATTCTAGGACTCAATCTCAATGGTTCAGGGGGTTTATTTTAAATGTGTTAATTAATTTGAGCATGCGATATTTTAAGTTACGGAAACAGACATAAAAACGCTCTTTTTTGAATAAACACATGCTTATTTTCAGCAGATTTGGATTTTAGACGTTTAAAATGTAGGAGAAATATAAAATATATCTGGGAAATATGGTCGCAATAGCTTAGTCAAGAGAGCTGTCCCAGGTTTAAACTAATTAAAGTTAATTTAACTTCATGCGTATAAAGTAATATCAATGTGACTTATTGTCAAGCCACATATCTCGAGAACTTTTTAAGCTAATTGAAAATCTTGTAAGTATGTAATTAAAAAATTCATTTATTTAAAAATAATTTCATGCAAAAGATAACTCTGATGTAATCTTTGCATCATTTAAATAAAGCAGTTTTACATGCAAGACACAAAATTTGAGCGAAATAGGTCGAATAGTTCCTGAGAAAGTTAATTTTAGAAGTATGACCTTTTCAAAATTACACTGTACATTGTTTTTACACTATTTTTTGAATTAAATCAATAAATTAATTTTTCATCTTTTCGATTTATGGCTTTTTTTTATGATATAAATGATATGAAAAATGTGGAATTTAAATTCTTAGAAAAGTAAAGCGTATGTACTGTATACAACTGGATAGATAATTAAATATTTGTACTAAAATTGCATTCAGGTATGAATCTTTAATATGACTTATAACAAAATTTACTAAATGGTTACACTCTAAAATTCAGAAGTTAGTATGCACCATCAGTTCCCACCCTACAATGTCTTTTTTCTTTCCTTTTCATTTGAAAATATTAGAAGTCGAGATTAAGGCTCTTCTTTATTTTAATTCTTAATTTAATATTTATTTTCATTCGTAAATTTACAATTTCGTTTTATTCGTAAATTTATTTTTATTCGTATTTAAGGAAAGTTTTTATTTAATTTATTATTATTATTGAGAATTAAGTTATTCTAATTGATTTTGATACATCTGATGATAAGCAAAACTTGAAACCCTTTAATATACCATAATGTAATACTTTACTAAAATGTTTGAAGAAATAAACAAATCAATATACATTTTTTTTCAACAAATGTTAGTTTTGAAATTAAAAAAAAAAATTGTTTTATGATTGTAAAAAAGTGTGAAAATAATGTAAAAATAATGTAAAAATAGTGTTTTTTTCACATCTGACAACCAGAGGTTCTTTATCAATAAAAATTTTTTTTTAACAGGAATTAAACCAGGTAATCATATACTTTTTTTGCTATATAAACTTCCTCTCAAACGTTGATTAGTTTTCTTACTTATTATCACAATATTTTACTTTTTTGTTTCAATCTTGTCAAGTAAATATTCTTTTTTTATTATAATCGGTACATAATTATTTACCCAAATGTAATACATTAGATGAATCAAAATCAATCAAATTTCCTTAATTTTAATTACTATCCTTTAATATCTACTATCCTTTTTAATACATTAAAAAAATAGTATTTTTAATTAATATTATCTTAAAACTGATATTCTAAATCCTGTAACAAAGTTCAGACTATAATTCCAATTACTTTATTCTAAAATATTTTTAAGCTTTACATTTGACATTCTCTACTTCTGACTCTTGTCCTACGCTTTGTCATTCATCCAATCAAAACGTTCTAGTTCTTTTTTCCGCCTTCGTTGTGTTCTACAGGTACCCACTACCTATTATCAAAACTAGCCCAGCTGCGCCCCCAATCACCACGTGTGCACTGTGGTGGACAGGGCGGCCGTTTCCACCCGCGCCCTCAGAGTTCGCGGGAATATTCGAGGAACCGGACGTTTAGGAACTCGCTGTTATTCGCTGCCATTCGGTGGTGAAGAAATAATTTGTTTTGTTCTGTTAAAGTAAGAGATTTTTCAGTCTTAATTTGACTGTAACATGACTGGTCTAGGTAGAGTCAATTTTAACTTTTTAATAATTTTGAAAGAACTTCTTTAAAAAACATCATAAAAATTTAAATTTTTAGTTATTGAGATAAACTTTTAACTCAAATCGGTTTGGAATTTTCAATTAAAAAATATTTTTTATAAATAAAACACTAAAATGATTAACTTTATTAGTTGTTGATAAAATATTTGTTTGAATCAATAAAATGTGTTAGTAGATGGAGGCTTTTAAATTTTAATAACATATTTACAACTTAGAATCTATAGTAAAATAAATTAAATGAGTACTTACTTGAATTATATACGCTCGTAAACTTTTTGAAGAAAATTAAATTACTTGCTTATCATTAATTATTGCAAAACAATTGATATGTAATTTATGCATTTAAGATGCTTTTATGAATTATATACATAGTAATATGCTTGTAATTTACTGAAAAAGCTTTGCATCACTATATTCATTCAAAATTTACCTTATACTGTAGTACTCAACGCAAAAATTATTTTTGAAAATTTTCAAACTTAAATCTTAGATATTTATAAAAATTAAATCTAAATTTTATATTTCTGAACATTTCGATTTTAAGAATTACTTAGCAGGAAGAAAACAAATATAAATATATTTTTTAAACATAAATATTTCATGGATTACATTTTTAGCATAGTAAAAAAAACAGGAACGTTGAGAAACCTCTAATAACAATTAAATAACTTTGTTTATTCATTAGAGTAAATTAACTATTAAAATGAAAATGTTAATATTTTTATGTGACTGATAGAACAAAAGAACAATGCTAAATCGATGCAGTTGAAGAAAACTTCAAAAACTAATCTGTGATTAATATTTTCCCATTCAGAAGGACTGAAAAGTCTTGAAAAATTTGATATAATATAGCATTTATGAGTGCAGTGATATATAAACATATCATAAGATAAGAAGTAGTGAGATATCGAAAAAAGTTATTTGAAACCAAGTATATCAATATCTATTTCTAGAAGTTTATTTGAGCTTTTGTATATCGAGAAACACTAACAAATGGATGGATCAAAATCACCTCTACGGTCTCCTGCACGGTCACCTGCCTTGTCACCAGCTAGATCTCCAGCCTTGTCTCCAAACCGTTCACCAAACAAATCGCCAAACATATCACCCGGACGAACTCCAAGCCGAGCATCAAGTTATGGTTCCCCACCACACGCACGGCACCGCTCAGCGTCCATACCCGTCACTCCAGAAGCTCTTAAGGGAGTTCGAAATAGGTTCTTAAACGCACCTGGTGGACTCTGTCCTCTAGGCGAAAACAATCGCGACAACAGTAACAACTTACTCTCTGTCGAGACAGATTCTAGAAATCGCTTGCCAAGAAGTGCACCTGAACTGACTGTAGATGAAGCCAGTCCGGGTTCCATAAGTCCATGGAACGATGACCCAAGCGAGTATGCAACTTCACTCGCTTGCACTGTCCATAGACCACAAGCCGAGGTGCTCTCAAGAAGATTCTCTGAAACTTTAACAGTTTCCAATGATCATTCCTATCGGCGAAGAAGAAGAAAATCACTTAGTCCTCACCATAGCCGTTCCTTATCTTTCCGGGCGTTAAAGAAAGGTGGATTAAACACATGGGATGACTTCAGACCTAGAGGAAATAGTGTTCCATTCGCAGATCCACTACCACCAAAGGGTCGCAGAGCGTCTCACCAGTATGTACGACGAGACAGAAGTGTGAGTCCTCGACCCAGCTTACCTTTGGAAGTGGATGATGATAAATACTATATGTTGAGACAGTTTTGCATCACTTCCAAAGGAGATGTGGTCAACAAAGGAGACCTTTATCGAGAACGTTCTCGAAGCAATAACAGTGTTGCTTCTTCGGGATCAAACGTCACTGGTGGTACAGGGTGTGCATCTACGGCCACATCGTGTTCATCGGAACCACATAGTACATTACCGCCAAAGAAAGTACTAATGATGGGTACCGTAGGAGTTGGAAAGACCTCTTTGGTAACGCAGTTTATGTCATCCGAATATATGAATTACGATGGATCATTAGGTAAGTCAAATTATTAACATTTGGTATACTTTTGGTATATTTGGTTAAAAACAATATATATATATATATTACACTGTACAT